GTTTTTCCAAATCTGTCGAAGATGGTATCAGTGATTACTATTTTGCCCCATTTTGACCACCTGGTTTGGGCCTTTCGATGTTGAAACTGTAGATGCTGGTGTCACTTCTTCAATAGCAAACATTTCTTTTATAGCCGGTTGTTTCTCGTAGACTGTTTTAACTCCGTCAGGTGTTGGGAATTTCAATGCTTGGTGCAGCGTCAAAGGCACCGCCCTCATGTTGTGGATCCATGGCCTTCCGAATAGAGCATTGAACCTCATGTCCCCTTCGATCAAATAAAATTTGGTCTACTGGATGGTCCCGTCGGTGTTTACTGGAAATGTTATTTCGCCTTTAGTGATCTCACAAGCCATGTTGAATCCATTTAGAAATTGAACTCCAGGCACGATTTGGTCTTGCAGACCGAGATGTTCCATGACCCTTGATCGAATGATGTTGGCCGAGCTACCTGGATCAATTAACACACATTTAACCCGAATTTTATTTACGAGTACAGATATTACCATTGCATCATTGTGGGGCTGCACGATCCCTTTCGCATCTTCGTCATTGAAAGATAAAGTTCCTTATCGTATGTAGTCTCGAGTTCGTTTCTCCCTAGTAATGGATACTTTAGTGTGTTTCAACATCGGCCCCTGTGGGATATCAACCCCATCGATGATCATGTTGATAACGTGTTGAGGTTCTTCTTATTCTGCCTGTTTGTTAGAATCCATGTTCCTGAAATGATTTTTGGCTCGGTCGCTCAACAATTCTCGAAGGTGCCCATTGTTGAATAGACGAGCTACTTCCTCTCTCAGCTGTCGACAATCCTCCGTTCTGTGATCGTGAGTGCCATGATATTTGCACATCTTCTTAGGATCCCTTTGGGTTGGATCGGACTATAGGGGTCTAGGCTATTTGGTATCTTTGATGCGCCTGATAACTGATATAATGGCGGCAGCATCGATATTAAAGTTGTATTCCGATAGCCTTGGTGCGTCTTTAGACATGTCAAAGCCATTTTTGGTCATAAGTCCCCGGCTGTTTTGACCTCGGTCATTTCTCCTTTCGTTTTTCATAGGGTTTCGCCCTGACCCGCTACTTCTCCGATCTCCATTATATGGTTGATACCGATCCCTATTTGGCCTCGGTTCACGATCGATCTCTCTCTTCACTCTATCGAAGGTTCTGACTTGATAAACAGACCCCGAAGAGGCCCCGAGTTGATCATCTTCGACTGTGATTTTTGACTGATACCGGTTATGCACGTCGGCCCATATAACAGTCGGATATTCTATTAAGTTCTGATTCAGCTGCTGTGAAGCCACCGAGCTTCGAATATTAAGTCCCTGAGTGAAATCTTGAACATCTCAATCATCAGCGACCGATGGCATATCCATTCGTTCCATTTGAAACCGGGACACGAACGTCCTGAGCATCTCGTTATCCTTCTGTTTGACTTTGAAAAGGTCTGATTTCCTAGTCTCGACCTTGATGGCACCTGCGTGTGCTTTTATAAAAGAATACGCAAGCATAGCAAATGAGTCAATAGAATTAGGAGGTAGGTTGTGATACCATATCATAGCTCCATTTGACAGGGTTTCCCCAAAATATTTTCAACAAAACAGACTCGATCTCATCGTCCTCCAGGTTGTTCCCTTTGATAGCACATGTATAAGAGGTTATGTGCTCGTTAGGGTCGGTAGTTCCGTTGTAATTGGGTATTTCGGGCATACAGAACTTCTTGGGGATTAGCTTCGGAGCCACGTTCGGAGGAAAAGGTTTTTGCACGAACTTCTTGGAATCCAAGCCTTTCAATAACGGAGGTGCTCCTGGGATTTGGTCTACCCTGAAATTATAGGTTTCCACCTTTTTGTCGTTAGCCTCGATCTTCTTCTCCCCTGATTATATCCGTTTTTTTAGCTCCTTAAGCATCTTTATGATCTCGGGGTTAGCCCCTGATTCGTGCTCGTTCGACCTTTCTATGACCGGTTCATCCCTGCGGGTGACTTCCCGGGGAGGATCGAGCTCAACCCTGCTTGGTGCGCGGCTTTGGTTCTGAAGATCACTCGTAGACTGATCCTGTCTCCTTCAATGTTTTGCGTGTTTCGAGTCATCGATCAGGCTCCACCACGAACGCTATTTTCGGGGTCGGAAGGCAAGTTTGCATCGAAAGCCACATGCGAATTAGCGTCAATCGGATATGCGATTGGAATTCCAGCGGGATCAGCATGTGGTATCTCGTTACCGGGCGCTATATAGTTATTTTCACCTTGGTGACCGGACTCATTGTTAACATGAAGAGGTATTGATTGAGAGTTTGACATTTTTGTATTTTAACCTGGAATCAAAGCCACTTCAAAGAGCAAGTGTAAAGCAGTGTGTGGTATGGAAATTTGTATCAAATAATTACTATTATCCTTAGCCCCACGGTGGGCGCCAAACTGTTTACCCTCAAAATCGGATAACAATTAAATTTATACACAGTTTTAAAAATATGTGATTTAACTTGATACAAAATGAGAAATCATGTTAAAATTGAAATTAATGGTAAAAGGTAAATGCAAACCACACAAGTTAAGCAATTTTGGCCTTGAAAGTTGATCGCCCTTGAGCCAAAAAATATTGCAATCGGTGCCGGAACAGAGTGATGAGATAATAATAACTAGAAAGAACAGTATATTGCTTTAGAATGCCAGTTACAATCTGTTTTACAAATAATCAGACCCCTTTTATATATTAGAGGAGTACTACTTTAGGTACAACTCTATATAAGGTAAAAAATCTCATGATTTGCTAATTAATCGGTTTCATTGATACGTGTCGAGATTTCTGTCGTGATGTCCGACCGGTTACGGATATTTCAGCCATCCGTTATTTTGGTTTGATGATGTTCTCTCGGGCTAATTCGAAGCCAGAGTTAGTTCCGGGGTCACGGGCTCGATAATCTTGAAGGCGCATGTTCTAACCTCGTACCTAAGCTCAATGAAACCCAGGGTCAATCTTCAATCCATTATGTTTCATCCCCGATTTGTCATGCAATAGATGAGCTTGGTTTCTACCATATACACATATGATCCCTTAACTATATCAGAATATTTTTAGGGGAGAAAGTCTTCTTACTATATCGACTTGCATGTGTTATGCATATAACATTTCATCAATTCACTATGTGAGGAAGAGAACACTTGCCTCATTGATTTCCCCTAGTCTTTTATCTCGTACATTAAGATGTCCATGCAAAGTATAAGGTGTGTTTGGTATGAAGGAAAATATTTTTCATGGAAAATAATTTCCTGAAAAATATTTTCTTGGAAAATAAGTGGTTTTGTCACTTATATTCCCTTGTTTAGTTGGTGAGTGAAAAGAGATTTCTGAAAAATATTTTCTAGTGTTTGGTTAGAGAGTAGAAAATATTTTTTTAGAAAAATAATTTTTTATGATACTCTCGATCCTCACCCCTTCCCCTAAATCCCCATATTTCATGTGCCCCCNCTCAAACAAAAATGAACTAATGTGATCATTCACTTTTTTTTACACAAGAATAGCGTTGAAATTTGAGCTCCATAATTAAAAAGAAAATATTTTTTTTGTTAAAAGAAAGTATTCTTTCTACAACATGAAAAGAAAGTATTCATTTTGTTGAAATAAAAAAAAATAAATTTCCTACATCATGAAAAGAAAATACTCAATTGTTGAACTAAAGGAAAATAATTTTTCTACATCTTAAAAAGAAAGTACTAATTTTGTTGAAATGAAAAAGAAAGTATTTTATCTACAACATAAAAAATATTACTCTTAAAATATTTCTATTTAGAGTGGGTGGGGTAGGATAAAGGCAGTGGGGATTTGGTGGGGATGGAAAATAGGGTGAAGAAGGCTGAAAAATATTTTCTTTCTCTTGATAGGGAAATTATTTTCCTCCAATTGAAGAAAAATGAGTCCATGAGGAAAATATTTTCCAAAATATTTAAGCTAACCAAATATGAAAAAATTGAAGAAAAAAAATCAAAAAATATTTTTCTTCGTACCAAACACACACATACGCTAGTCAATCGGTATACTAAACATTAACCCTATCGTTAAAAAAAATAGATCGGCAAATACAAAAACTTATCACTAATTTATACCGAAATTATTTTATATGTGGATTATTTTTTCTCAACTTTGTTTTTCCTTAAACTTGGGTATTTTTGCCCAACTTGTTCACCAAGTAAATCCAATTAATAGCATGTTTGGCCAAGCTTCTCAAGAGGCCAGAAGTATTTTTTTTTTTTTAAAAGCACTTTTTTTCCTAACTTGAAGTGTTTGGCCAAGCTTTTTGGGGGGGAAAAGTGTTTTTGGGAAGAAGCTGAAGCAGTTTCTGAGAAGCAGAAAAAAGTAGCTTCTTCCCAAAAGCAGAAGCAGTTTTGACTTTTCTTCTTACTAAGAATACCCTTAACAAAATATACTATATACCAAAATAATTGTTAAACCTAATACTTAGGATATTAATGTATATATATTTCTTATTATTTTTAGGATAGCTTTCTAATATATAGTGACTTTAGGGGTGAATGCTTTTATATTTGTTGAATGATTTTTAATATATTTAACTTATATTAAAAAAATTAAGTACTTTTAAATTTTATTTTCATATTTTACTTAAATAAAATAAAAAAAATTAATTATTGCATGTAATAACAAATTTTTGAGATTATTTATTTACTTATAATATTAACAATTAAGTAAATATATTCATGTCCTTATTCGTAATTTGTTACTTAAAAGCAGTTTCTGAAAAGTTTGGTCAAACACAAATTATTATTCAAAAGTATTTTTCAGAGTGATTAGCCAAACACAAATTATTTTTGTCCAAAAGTATTTTTTTCAAAAGTACTTCTCAAAATAAGCTGATTTCTCCGGCTCGATCAAACACGCTATAAGTAGGTACTAGCCACTAGGTAGTATCAAGGTGAAAAGAATACAAAGAACCTAGAGGAAAGGTACACCGTACGCGGCAATGAAAAGTTCAGCACTAAGAGCTGTCACCAACCACAAGTTACAGCCCCTCTCTCTCTCTCTCTCACTACAAATACGTCTTATCCCTCCTATTCTTGTCACACACGCCCAAACCAAAACTTCTTTACACATATCTCTCTTGCTTTACACTATACAAAAACCTGACCTTTTGTAAAATCATCAAAATCTTTTTTCCTCTTTCTTCAATCTTTTCTTTCTTCTACCATAAAGAAAGAGTCAATTACACAGAAAAAAATGTGTGGTGGTGCAATTCTTGCTGATCTCATTCCCCGCCGTGACCGTCGCGCGTCATCCACTGACTTATGGCCAAATTCTGCAGATTTCTGGCCAAGTTCTTCATTTACTAAGACAATTAACTCCAGAGTGTCCACTCAAAATGTTACTGCCACCCCAAAACGAGCTCAAGTTGCTCAACCCTCTACAGGTAATTAATTAAGTAAACCTGACCTTATGCATGTTTTTTTTTTTTTTGCTGATTCATTTTTAAGGTGATCACTGATGCATTTCTACAAACAGGTAATGAACAAATCCAGAAGACCAAGAAGAGGCAAAGGAAGAATCTTTACAGGGGAATCCGACAGCGTCCTTGGGGTAAATGGGCTGCTGAAATTCGTGACCCAAGAAAAGGTGTAAGGGTCTGGTTAGGTACTTTTAACACTGCAGAAGAAGCTGCTAGAGCTTATGACAAAGAAGCTCGTAAAATCAGAGGAAAAAAGGCTAAAGTTAATTTCCCTAACGAGGACGACCATTGCAATACTGCTTACGAATCCTATGATACTTCTTATAATCATGAGTCAAATAATTGTAATGGTAGCGTCTGCTCGCTCGAAAATCAAAACACTGAACCTGTAATGGAATATCCATTAGCTTGTAAAAATTCATCTGGGTCTGTTTATGAAGGAAGTAAAGAGCAAAAAGCAGAGAACGAAGTGGAGAAACTGACTGAGGAGCTGATGGCTTATGAATCATTGATGAAGTTCTATGAGATACCATATGTTGACGGCCAATCAGTGGCGGCGACGCTGAATCCAGCGGCGGAGGCCGTCGTGGGCGGTGGCTCGATGGATTTATGGAGTTTCGATGATGTCCAACAGTGCCCATAACTCAATTGTAACGAATGCTATTAATTAATGTTGTTTTTAATTGCTGCATATTTCATTTTTCGGTTTAGGAGAATTGACTTTTTGTAGTCTTGCTCAATTGTGTAAAACTGTATTTCTAGTATGGAGTAGTCTGTTTTGTTTTCTAGTTCTATATTTTTGTCCAAAGCTCGACTTTTGGCTTCTTTCATGTATTTGGTAGACTGATTTACGTGAAGAATGTACCTTGTAATCTTCAGCTGCACAAAAAAGCTTCAGAAATGGAAGATATAATTTAAGAGAATCTTATTTATTTTATTTGTCATAAAGAAATGATTAGTATTATTTCCTTGTTGTAGTACTATAATAAGAGAGGTTTTGTAATCATTTTTTTTGCCTGTCATTGGTAAATTTGGTTTAAAGTGTAATAATCTTGCGAGGAAAGATTTATTCAACTGCTTTCCTCCCTTTGACAATAAAAAAATTCGAGAACTTTGTTTCTCGAAACATCTTATAATTGTAACAATCATGGAAGTCCCTCGTGCAATTGTTCATCTCAAGTTTAATTTTATCCCCTCTTTGGCAGTCATTTATTAGAAACACCGCTAACACTTGCAAATGTATATTCTAGCTAGAAGATATAATAAAATGATTCTAGAATATTTATATGATTATGTTCGAAGAGAATGAGTAATGAATTAGAACCAACTAACTAATTAATTATATTAAAATTATACACAATTAGTCCATAAACTCCAATAGTTGAAAACACATCTTAGTCAAAACAAAGGTTTATAGAGTTGGGAAAAAAGTAGTAGCAAGGGTCAGTAAGTTTTTATATGGCAAGCGTGTGGACAACTCAGAGAAAAATTTACTAAAAAAGAAAAACGAATCGAAAATATGCACGTCGTTGCAAACTCGAATTGTCCAATATAGATAGGCAGGGGGAAAACTTGAGCGCTAACGGTTTTGACGTAAAACTAAGGGCGCACCCCGCTTTCGTAATAGAATTGTACTTGCAACTACTTGTGAATTATGATTTCTTCAAAAACGTATTACTTGTACTGCCTAACCAACTTCTTTTATTTTTTTCAAGGAACATCGCGAAAGAGATAGAATAAAGAGTTCCAGTCAGTGGTAGAGCTAGATTTTACGAACTCAATTATTTTTGTTCAAATTCAGTATTTTTTTTTGAAAAATTCCATGAACTAAAATTCAAATTTTGTAACCTTTAAATTCGAGCTCTGCCTCTGGTTAAACTCAAACTATTATACGAAAGTAAAAATCTATGACCCATTAATACTTGAGTATAAAAAAAAACAAATCAACAAATATTTTTTGTGTTTTATTATGATTAGCTCCACTTAACTGCAAATTTTGGTGCGTCTAACCAACTTCTTTCACAGCCGAAATTTCCTTTTCATTTTCATATTTTTTTTCCTTATTGATGAAAAGGAATAATAAATTCAAGTACGAGGACCGAAATATTTAATTTTTCATATGAATCAATCAATGCTTCAAAATTCATGCTATAATGGCATGGACTTTAGTTTCAATGGTCCCTCTTTGTTCTTGAGTTGAGAAGAGCAAGGGAGAAAATAAAAATAAAAGCGACAAAATGGGTTCAGAACACTTTAGTTAATTTTTAAATAACAGTACTTTAGAGTAGCTACTTGTCATTTCTACGACAAAATGGAAGAAGTGGCCAAAATAAATTTTACTTAACATACTTTTTGGGCCAGTTTTTTCTCCGTAACTAGTCTGAGTCATAAGTCAAAGCGGTTTTTACCTATCTATGCTATATTATAAATTTATTTACCTCTCTTAGAGAGGTTATTACTTAATTACATTTGCATATATAATTTATCATTTATATATAAAATAATATATTAGACTCCAATTTTACCTATTTTAGGCTTCATTCTTCTCTATTTTTCTTCTCCGTATAGATATTTTTCTCTCTGTTCCTCTTCGACTCGACTTTCGCAGATGAACATGCTCAAAACTTTGAAGAATGGTGAAGAAAAATAATTCAACTGGTTAAAAGCCATACAATACATACATGATGCACCAATACAAATGGGTTACCAAAATTTTTTTTAGATGAATAAACAAGAAATTATCAGCATGAGTGGCATTTGAAACTGAACTGAGAGTCTGAGACTAATTGACAGTGTAATTGAAACTTTAGTTGGTCGTGTATACATGATCTTAAACTCCATTGATAGCCATTAGAAAGCTTAAAAGCTTTGAATTCGAAAATCAAAAATTGCAAAATTATTATTTTTGTTTGGATTGGGTGTTATTGCAAATGATTGTGAATATCCTTTGGATTTTATATCTCAATTCTGAGAATTTGGTAAAGATTCAAGGTGATTTTGGTTGGAATTTCAGATTGAAACTAAAGAAGACACAAAATAATTGTATATACTTTGTATATCAAGTGTAGAAATAGTATATAAAATATTTACAACTTACATAATTGTATACAAGTTGTATATAAATTGTATGTAAATTATAATTTTTGACCGGATCATGTACAAAAAATTGTATTTAAGTTGTAGATAAATTATAGATACATTTTAGATTTTGACCAAATTTGTATATATTTTGTAAAAAACTTTAGTTACTTTATGTAAATATGAAAACTTAGACAAACTGGGTAAATAAGTTTAAAATCTCGTATATATACGAAAAGTCTCTAACCAAAATGGATTAAACTAGAGAAGAATTAATTCAAATAGTCGCCTACCCAACCACTTAAACTAATAATAGCCGATGGAGATATAATATATGCATAATTTATGTATTATATGTGTATAATTATGTATAATCAGTATATAATTTATATATATGGCTAAAACAAATAATGAATGTGATCGGCTCTTTGTATAAAGATCCATAAATTGGAGCCCACTGGTATAAAAGTCCATTTTCACTGGCCCGTAGTGCCTAACTTAATTGTAATTGAGTTTGAGCCTATAGAAGCCTTTTCGGAGAAGGATGAATTCTGATGGCTATATTCAGACCATTTTTCAGTTGTGATGGGGTTGCACCAGGGGTCGGCTCTTAGCCCATTTTTATTTAACTTGCCGTTGGACATACCAACGCGTCATATTCAAGGGAAAGTGCCATGGTGTATGTTATTAACGTATGATATTGTACTGATTAACGAGACGCGAGGCAGTATTAACGCGAGACTAGAGGTTTGGAGACAGACCTCGGAGTCTAAAGGTTTTAAATTTAGTAGGACCATGGCTGAGTACATGGAGTGCAGGTTCAGTGACGGAAACGATGGTGCGGGCGTGGACATGAGGCTTGATACGCAAGTCATCCCTGAGAGAGATAGTTTCAAGTACCTTGGGTCTATTATCCAAGGAAATGGGGAGATTGATGAGGATGTTACTCATCGTATTGGAGCGCGGGTGGATGAAATAGAGACTCACATCCAGTGTTTTATATTATAAGAATGTGTCACCTAAACTTAAGGGTAAGTTTTATAGAGTGGTTGTTAGACTTGTCACTACAAGAAAATAAGGCTATGACGACATTTTAAAAATGTCGCCATAGATCACATAAATGTCACAAAATGCTTAACCGACATTTATTTTACACTTAAAATAAATATCAGAAATTTCGATGTCGGGAATTTTCCGACATTTAAATTAGTGTCGTAAAATAATTAGTGATATTTGTTTTACGACATGTTGTCAAATGTCAATAAGATGTACTCTCGACTCATCTTACTTGCGACATAAAATAGAAATGTCGGAAAATATGTCTCGTCAATAGTTTTTCTATTTTTGGTTTNATCGGAAAACATGTCTCGTCAATAGTTTTTCTATTTTTGGTTTTTATATTAAAATAATATAACGAATTTTAAAATTCTTCATGTTGAAATAATCATTTGATATTTCAGAACACCATACACCACAAAAATAAAATAAATAGCCACTTCTGCATACTCTTTTTGTAAAGAACTACAAACTGTAATTATCAAAATATTATAAGCAACGTAATAATAGATAATTGTTCTCAAACAAATGTAAATTTTCTTTATACATCTCTAAAATAAGTTAAGATCGTCTATAGTATAGGAAAATAATAATCAGGAATAGGGGCCAAGATCTTTCTCTAAACTTAGTTTCAAGCATTTTTTATCTTGCCCGTGCCGTGTTGGAGAATATTACTCAAAACCAAATCTTTCATAATAACCGACTTTCCGTCATAATACTGAAACAACATCGAAAGGGGTTCTTAATTGATTGGCTAACTAGAAGCCTTCCTCGAAACACATCGTCACCCAAGTTGTGTATCCAGTACCACAACCTAGGTCACTAATCTATAAATCCAAACTTGTTGAACCTGTAACTCGTTAAAACATAAACAAATAAAAAGATAAATAATACTCCCCTCTTGAGAAAAAAGATAGCTAACAAGTTGATAATAATCCTAAAATTCAGAATACCTTGTTGATGTCCTTCCCCAATTTCATATTTTCTTGGCTTTTGCAAAATGAAAATTTGGATATTTCCAAGGAATCCCAAATCAATCGTGAGAAAGGGTTGAGGAAAGGTGAGAGGCGGTTAGGGTTTTGAGAGAAAAGAATTAGAGTGAGGCCTTTATTAAGAGTTCCTAATTTATTTTTCAGTAATAGTCTGTCACGATCCAAACTAACCTCTGTCGTAATGGCGCCTATCGTGGAACTAGGCAAGCCGACTCATTTCCAAAATAAACCGATATTTTCATTTCAAAGATAATTTCAAGGTTATTTAACATAAAACCTCCATTTAAAGAGTTCAAATCAAAGAAAAATAGAAGTGCGAAAAAGAAAAGCCCGACATCGGGGTATCACTAGTCATGAGCATCTTCTATAATCTGTCTAACAATATCAAGGCTAACTCAGCCTGAAAAATAGCTAAATACAACTAG